CCCCAAAACCCCCAAAACCCCAAAACCCCATTAGGAATGAAAAGAAGAGCAATTGAAGTATTAAAAAATGCTAAAAATTCAGTCATCAATGATTAAATCGCAATTTAAATGGCAAAAGTCTATCTAAATTGCTTAATTCTCAAAGCGCTCTAAGGATTCTCCAACAATGACAATTTTTAACAGCCAAGACCACTTGAACGATAATTCAAGATCTTCGAAATTCTGGCCTATCTCAGATAAAAGACCTCTTAGACTAGATGAAGATTTGGAATCCCAATATAATGAACATTTATCAAGAACCACCAGTGAAAAACCTGGCCATGATTACTTAGATTAGCAGAAGTAAAAAGTAAGACAATATCTTGCAAAGAGGGCAAAGGAGATTCATGATATTGATGAGAAAATGCCAGAGCGAAAAATCTCCTAAACTAAAGAATCTCATGAAAATGACTATAAAAATCCAAAATTCTAGGAAGCTCATCTTATAGACTAGAATTAATAAGATAAGTATAGGCCTGGAGATTAAGATAAGGAGAACGAGCAAACTAAAGAAAAAGAGCGAGAGAGATAATATATTGAAGATAGGAGAGAGAAGTGATAGGTAGTTAAGGATTCTATAAAAAGTGAAGATGAGAAGCTAATAAACTCTCCGATGCCAGTTGATTTTCCAAGATTTAGATGAATCTCATTTGTTCTTAAAGTTGTTCCATTATCCATCAATATAGAACAAATGCTATAGAATCTTTTACTGCTTAAATTCTTAATACGTGAATTAATGAATCTTAAAATTTATTTGGTCTTAATTAATGATAAATAGTTCAAATTAATTATTCAATTATTAATTTTAAAATCTATCATAGCTGAGTTTAAGCAAAAATTATTACCATGGAAAACGAAGTAATTTAGAGTAAAAATCGTTACTCTGACATGAATCGAGAGGAAGTCTTAATCACTAGAAACTAGCAAAAATATCCCACTTAGGAATAGAGTTAAAAGCCTTATAAGGATGAAAATTTGATGAAGCCGTAGTAGACATTCATCACTACCAATATCAAGACCAATGTTTCTTAGTAGATTGATGAATCATTGCCCAAATAGTAGAATCTTGAGTTGAAAAAAGAATAGCCATCCTCTTAAAAGAATAAACCTATCTCTGCAGTGTACCAATAGAAATAGCCAAAGTTTAAATAATAATTATAACAATCAAAGCAGATGCAGAAGCAGTAAAAAACAACAACTCCTCAAAAACAATAAAAGTCACTACAGAGTAGACCTCAAGTATAAGAATAAATTTATTAATCAGAGGAGAAATAGCCTAAGCCTAGAGATTCTTAAAGATAGTACAAAGGTAAAAATATTCAGGAATGCAAGCATCTTGATTTAGGAGTGAGTTCTTAGAAACAGGAATCTTAGGAGACTTAGGAATCCAAAAGCTTTAATTAGTAACAGGCAGAAGTACCTATAAAGAAAATTGATCTATCAGAGTGCGTATCTGAAAGCATGAAGAAGAAAATATAACAGCATCAAGCATTCATGAAGGAGAAGATACATGAACAAAAGGATATAAATCTTGAGGAAGAAAAATAGGCTCCACGGATTCAGTTGAATCCTGAGGAAGAGACTAAGCAGATTCCTCTTAAGCATAAAGTTTCCCCTATTTTACAAAGCAGAGGAGATGAAGAACCAACAGGCTAGGCTGATTGGGCTAGCTTTGATTTCACCGAAGAAGCTGAAAGACAAAAGTAGAAAAGAGGTATAAAATTTTCATTCTTTATGATACTGATTAATTTAATTTAGATGATGAACTTCTTAGCGAGCAAAATCTCTTCCCCAAATTTAAACTAGAAGATAATACAGAAAACATCATGAATTAATAATTCCACTACCCCCCAGCTCATTAGAATCTTCTAGTAATACAATAATTTACTTAAATACCCATTATTTTAGCAAAAATAAGAGATGATTAGAGAGTAAAACCTTAAAAATTAGAGAAAGTCTCCCAAAAAAGAAGAAGAGTTTTGCTAAGGATTCAGTCTAATAGATAAAATGAAATTCGCACTCTATAATAAAGTATATAAGATGATAGAAGAGTAGAAATTGATAGATAACCCTGAAGAAATAGTATCCTAAGGATTTAAGACAATTTAGGGAGGCAAAAACTTAATGAAGAGGATGGAAGTTGCTATGAAAAAGGTACTTGAATAGAAAAAATAAGAGTGCTTATAGTAAGAAACTACGCAGGAATAGAGAAAACAATAGAAAGGAAAGATAAGAATACCACTATAAAGAAAGCATAAATCTGTTTAGCATAGAAGAAAGGATTTAAAAGAATAAGAAACTCATGTAAGACAGCCAAGCCCAGAAAGAATTCAGGAAGGCTAAGAATTGCTCTAACTTAGACCTGATAGAACTGAGGAATAATTCAAATAAAAATAGAGAGATATTAACTTAGAACTCATAAAGAATAAATCTAGAAGGAGATAAAGAAAAGAAGACCTTGACTTCAGAAAATAAAGTAATTTGGATTCAGAGCATGATGAAATTAATGGATGGAGATTTTAGAAAGATAGAACCTAAATTAAAGATAATTTAGAATGTGGGGATCTAGCATGCTTATTTGATGAAAGCAATGTTTAAGAAGTGATTGAACCATATAAAATGCCAAAGCAAGAATTTAAACCAATATAATAAAAATTCCAAAGAAAAACTCAGATTCCAAAGAAAAGATTTATTTATAGACCTAAATAAGTTAAAGAAGAGATAAAAGTGAATTATCCAAAGGGAAACACATCTTTTAAAAAGAAATAGCCAAGACTTGAGATAGATTTTAGAAAGCAAAGTGAATTGGATTCTGAGCACGATGAGATAAATGGTTGGAGATTCCAAAAAGACAGAACATAAATAAAAGATAATCTTGAGCAAGGTGATTTGGAATGCCTGTTTGATGAGAGCAATGTTCAAGAAACTGTTTAACCATATGTAATACCAAAGTAATAGATTATTACAGAATTATCAAAACCTATCTAGAGATAAAAAAAGATATTTAAAACTAGAAAGATATAGAGATAACCAGCTAAAGATAAATAGATAGATTCAAATTATAAGCAAATTGGCAGATGGAGATTCCAGATTGACAGGTCAAAAATCTTCGACGGATTTGAACAAGGAGATTTAGAAAATTTATTTGATGAATCAAATGTGTGCGATACAATTGAAGACTATAGCAAGGTTTAAAAAAGAAAAATAGAAGAAAACTATGAGGTCTTAAATGGTTGGAGATTTTAAAAAGATAGATCTGGTATTAATGATTATTTTGAAGAAGGTGATCTTGCCAATCTCTTCGATGAAAGTAATGTTTAAGCAAGAATAGTTATACCTTGGGAGCCATTATACTAAGAAGATTTGGATTATAAAGAAAAGTTGAGAGCTAGAAATCTAAAGAAAAATAACAAAAGAAGAAGACTTGCAAAATAAAAAGATAGGGAAAGACTGGAACATGAAGAATCCCAAAGATATTCACTTAGAGGATATGATCTCTTCGGTGATCCAATGAATCTCTCTCATAAAACTATGTGTACATCAGAAGATCATTTGCTCATTGAAAGAGAATCAAAGCTAAATCAATTTTTTAATCGTCAGCAAAAACTTGAGAAGCCTAATTAAGAAGAAAGACTCAGATAAAGTTAACTGGATAAAGAAAAAGCGAGAGCTAAAAAAGAATAAGAAGTCTTAAAATAGAGGATACAACTTATTGAGAAATAAAATAAGTTTGATCGTGATTAACAAATGAAGTAGAAATAAATCATGATAGAAAAACCAAAACTTACTCTTAATCAAAAGAAGAAGATTAAGAGAAAGGAGAGGAAATTAAGACTCAAAAACTAGGAAAGATTCTGGGAGAGTCTAGAGAATGCTCAAATTGATGAAGGTCAATTTGAGAACGAAATGTAACAATAGAATGTAAGTAGATTTGATTTTCAAGCTAATTAAAGGCAAAAATAGCCTTAATACTTGAAGGAATAAATGGAAAATTAGCAAAGACTCGTTAAAAGTGGAGAAAGCTAAATTAATTAAAATGACTTTGGAGGCTAGAATCCAGTTGTGAATCTTAGACGGTAGAATCTGGTTTAAGTGTTTATGTGACTGCTCTATAGGATCCTTTATGTGATAGTAAGTTCTTTAAATAAGGTACTGAGCCCTGTCGCATTAGATTCAGCTAAAAAATAGCGATTTTGAGGTTATTAAAATGAAAAAATGTGTTTAATTTCAATTCTTAAACTCTTAATTTATTAATTTTCTTGAGATGTGGGGTTTTGGGGTTTTGGGGTTTTGGGG